AGATCATAGATAAGGACATTTCGTTCAGCACCAACTTTCTTGTCCAAACCATATGCAATGGCTGCAGCTGTTGGCTCATTGATAATACGCAACACGTTGATACCAGCAATTACCCCTGAAAATAAGATACATATTTGATCAATGACCTTGGAAAATCATGGAAATTGTCTGACAATCTGATGTGTTGTTGAGCTTATGAAGTATTAATGAAAAATATTTTTTCTAATATGTACTGATAAGTGCTTATTTTCATGATGTTTCAGCTATAACTAGTGATAGACTTCATCAGAATGATGAAGGCTACGCAATGTTTTAATATTTTTTTAAATAGCACACCACATACTAAATAATAAAAAGGTTAAAGCCTTTTATTTACATATTTTTCTTTCATATCTGTCTTAGCACTACAATATGTACGAGGAATAAAACACTTAAACTTTCAATGAAAATTTTAAAATATCATGAATCTCCACTGTGAAATTATAATTTTCGTTATGAGATTTCCAAAGGATTAATCGAAGTATAAAAATTGGAGAATCAAGGAATTTCTGTCATTGACATTTTAAGCTACTGACTCATGCATAAATCATCTATTTAAAATCCTGTCGTCCAATCTGAAGCTAGATCGTGCACGTGACTTCCACGTCTATCTTACGCAATTCTAAGAAAGCATGGCGGCATGGATTGACAACTTACCGGCATCTTTAGTAGCTTGTCGTTGGGAATCGTTAAAATAGGCTGGTACAGTGACAACAGCGTCCGTTACTTTGGTGCCCAGATAAGCTTCGGCAGTTTCCTTCATCTTATTCAAAACCATTGAAGATATCTAGGACGAAAAACATTTTAAAATATTAAACACTAGCTTGCGAATTCGGCATAATTCGTTGAACAACAGTTACGTAGAATTTAGTTTGAAAAATCTAAGCTTTAATAATTGTTGCTTACCTCTTCGGCAAAGAAGCTTTTCTTCTCTCCCTTAAATTCTACTTCGATCTTGGGTCTTCCGCTTTCAGAGACAACCTGAGGGTATGACATAATAACCATGTGCTTTTAGACCGGCTCTAAGCGAAATAATCTTATTTCTTGGACAAATATTGTGCCCAAAAAAGCAAAAATGACTTCAAAAACACTTCAAATAAGAGAATTGAAAAAAAACATTTTGTAATATTTGAGGAACTTACGTGAAAAGGCCAGTGTTTCATATCATCCTGAACACCAGGATCTTCAAAGCGACGCCCTATCAATCGCTTGGCATCTAGAAAAACAAACCCAAACTAATTCAATCGAAAGCCCAAATTTTGACAGAAAATTTTTATCGATCAAAATAGAAATTGAAAGATTTTTCCTTATCTTACCGAAAACTGTGTTTACTGGGTTCATGGCGACTTGATTCTTGGCTGCGTCGCCCACCAAACGTTCAGTATCGGTGAAGGCGACATAACTTGGAGTAGTTCGGTTTCCTTGATCGTTAGCGATGATTTCTACTTTACCGTGTTGGAAGACACCAACACAGGAGTAGGTAGTGCCGAGATCGATGCCTACAGCTGGGGCCTTTGCCATCTTTTAGGAGAAGACAATTAATAGACTTAAAGAAAGACAAGATACGTTGACGACAAGTTACTTGAAAAGAACTGATGCAAAGAATAGCGAATGTTATATACTCACGTCGCGCAAGGCATGATGTCAGAAATTATACGGGGAAGACTGGACTATCACAGGTAGCGCAAGCCATGCCAAGCGTAGATAAGGGAGCGTTCACACTAGCCATTTTGATCGATCACCCAAAGAAAACCACGATTGGTAAAAGATCGATCTATAGACCATCTCGAGACTGAAATACCGGACGAATTTTTAAGAGGCAATGTCCACAAGAATCGAACAAATTCAAGAATTCGTGGCAAGAGTCAAAAAATCAAATTCGCTCTTCTTTTGAAGTTAGATAGGCCATTATTAGATATGAATCCCTGGGTAGTTGGTTTTCGAAAATATTATTTTATTTTCGAGAAAACGGCCACAGAAGAGGTTCGACCGAAACCCAAGCAAGAGACGCTCAAGAGGAGTGAAAATGGACAAACTTTGAACAGAGCGCGCGTAAAAGATAAACCATCTATGAGAATTTTTGAACTTTCTTCTTAATGTATCACCCTTTTTCGTTCATTGGACTGGATTTCAAGCTTATTGGGAAAGGGACGAATTTTTGGCGAGGGAAAATAGGAGGCCTGTGTTTACATATGCTAATTAGTTGCCTCAAAAGAAAAAAGATTTAACTATGGGCAAGTTCTCTGATTGAAATAATATTTATGCTGCAAGTTGAGGAAGAATAGACCTTTTCAAAACTTTAAAGATTGATTTGGGGAAATTAATTCTGACTGCATAGAAACTTGTTGAATTTGGGTGAAATACATGCGAAAATCACGCTTCCCGAATCAACGCAGGACTAAGAATTTTCGTAAAGATTGCCATGAAATTTACCCTGAAAACTAGGAAATTAATGTTTGTGCCGTTGTTTGAAAGTTCATTGTGGTTTGGTAAATTTAAGCTCCATTGGAAAGGTTTTGGGATTGTCGGTACTGATGAGCAAAAAACGCGATCTTTGGTGATTGCGTGACCGAGGTTCCACTTTACGTTTAGAAGTTTGATTACTGTAAAATTCACGCTAAAAATTACGATAGAAACGTTCTTTATATATCATATCTCATAATGGCCTATCTAACTTCAAAAGAAGAGCGAATTTGATTTTTTGACCCTTGCCACCATTTGTTCGATTCTTGTGGACATTGCCTCTTAACTGGTCAAATGTTTGAAATGACATGTACATTTACAAAATACGTTCTGGCTAGGCGTACGCCCTTGCTAGTAAGAATAGTCTAGCACGCAAAGGGATCGACAATTAGATAATTAAGGGGCAGTGGGGGCTGCACGAATTTTGTTGCATGACTTTTTTTTGTTAAAACCCCTGCACACATTTCTTTTGTGTTTGCCGCTCGATATGGCTTTTCTGAAAGGAGACGTTGCGCGATATTTTTTTTTCTTTTTCGTGGATAAAGTGCTTGCTCTGTATTTTGGGGGATTTAAAATCTAATGGTCCGCGTCTAAGGTGAGATATTGAAGAAAAAACCCAATAGATACACGCATATTGTGAGTGTCTATTTTGTATTCATGTACACATGCTGTCAATGCGGGACCCTTCCATCAAGAATAGACACAAATAGACACTACTGAGACAGTCAATAGACATCTATTGTGCATATATAGACATTATGCACACATGCTATGGAAACATGAATTTGGGATATTTACTTTTTGATTCTTTAAAAAAAGGACCATACCCTCAGACATCGAGTGCTGAACCGTCGTATGGCAGCGCGAAGCATTTACGGCTACGCCTGAGATTTCGGCCACGACACCGCTATCCGAAGATATACAGACTTAGATAAGGAAGCTCGGCCGAAGCCTAAGGGAGAGGCTAGTCGGCCCCTAGACGGTAGATGATTAACCCCTTGCTATGACCAGCAAACTCAAAAATCATGATTGTGACGCTGATGGCTGTGAATGCATACTGACTTCTTTTCATTTCGGATGCGTTCTTATGAATAGCCTAGCCTCTGAAGATGACTTCCGCAATACAAATATCATCACTTCGATAAGCATTCATTCACCTGGGTTAAGACCATTCTATACAATATGAAAACTGAAGCAAGCGCAAGCCAACAAAAACATCCGTTTTCTCATTGCGTTTGAGCTTGCGTCACTTCTCATTCACAGTGACAATAGACCTCGATGACATTTGATACCTACCATTCCAGATTCCCCTTTCGGAAGTGTTTTTACATATATTGATTTTTACGATTGTTTTGTGGTAAATAAGGTAAGAAACGTCAGCCGTAAGACCAGGATTAAATGAGGGGTGGATCCCTTATACCGATAAAAGGTAGCAGATCGATGATTTTTTCTAGGAGGGGGTGCACCGTCCTGGATTTTCGTTTTAGGAGGGGGTGCACCCTTTGCTTACAAATATCAATAATACAGTAGATACAGCTGCTTATCTAGGGAGGGACAGTGGAAAATGGAAACCTCTTTTTAAACACTTATCGGGTTTTCATTAGTTCAAGTCGAATTTAAATAGTTTGTAAGTCGGTGTAAGGTAAACATTTGAAAAGTAAAGCAAAACAAAAAAGCGCAATCCAAAAACCAAACCAAGGAGGTTTCAACCATTTAATGGTAATAAGACCAATATCCAGTACAATGGCTCAAAACTTAGCAGTTTATGACTACCATTTCTATATTAAATAATTTAAGATTTTAAGAATACTTTTGTAATCTAAAAAAAAACTTTTTAAAAGTACTTTCGTTTAACTTGAGTCTGAATGAACATTAACCTCTAGGCTCTGTATATTAGGATGCATTAAAACTAAAGTTTCATTAAAGCCCACGTGCGATGGCACCAACTGCAACTTTTGCGCGCACCACTGAATACAAACTCGAAACTGCAGTGTCTATAAGCTTTAACATTAACAAGCAATATCACTCAGTTCACTATGCAGTAACTATGTTGTGATTTATATATTATGTTATATGTCTAGTGGTAGATACAAGACTGCTTAAAACACTATCAATGACTAGTGTTTAATCAACTTCTTCAATAGTTGGTCCAGATGATCCACCATCTCCTCCTGGTGCAGCTTCGCCGGGTGCAGCTCCTGGGAATCCACCTGGAGGGGGAGCACCACCAGCGCCTTGGTACAACTTAGTGATGATTGGGTTGCATACACCTTCCAACTC